TCAACTGACTTGAGTACTTTCTGACTAATCGACCCGCCACGGTGTTCTAGTGGTTGCGGCACTCGACTGCTGACCCGCAGGTCACGGGATGCCAATCCCAGCCCCGGCGGTCGTCTTTTCGATGGAGGCGAAAACCCTTGAGGCCCGTGCGAAAGTTGAAGTAACCCGCGTGGTCAATATTTCCGAACACCTCCACTACTCTCATCATGTCTCAAGATTGCATCATGGTTGTGGTACTTTAAACCCCGACAATTAATATATTTTTATTAATTACCTTCAGCTTTTTGAGTGAAATGACTACAAGTCACCCACTAGTCCTGTTCTAGAGTTGCACAAGGGTATCTTTTAGGTCCTCTTCAGCTCGCACATGCATGTTTGAAAAGGTTTGATTGATATGTTTGGTTTAACGTTCCGAAGCTACTGTGTTGGGAAGGGTTGACGCTTGGCCAAGTAGGTGTGGATTCATTTCAAAATCTGTCCCGTCATTTTCCTAATCGTTCTATGAGCTGTTACCACTTTTCCTATATACATATCGGCGACATGCCTGACTTCATTTCCTCGAATCAGTTGTCATGTTTTCCGATGACTGCATTATTTGCCGCGAAATAATCAATGCTAATGCTCTGCAAACTGATTTTTTTATGTTAAATGTAATTTGTGCGACAAACTGGCTTATCAAAGTAATTAACAAAGTGCGTGCCACTCGAAGCTCACGTCACCCCGCCACGGTGGTCTAGTGGTTAAGGTACTCGGCTGCTGACCCGCAGGTCGCGGGATCAAATCCCGGCTGTGGCGGCTGCATTTCCGATGGAGGCGGAAATGTTGTAGGCCCGTGTAGTCAGATTTGGGTGCACGTTAAAGAACCTCAGGTGGTCGAAATTTCCGGAGCCCTCCACTACGGCGTCTCTCATAATCATATGGTGGTTTTGGGACGTTAAACCCCACAAATCAATCAATCAATCAATCAATCAATCAATCAATCAATCAATCAATAGAAGCTCACGTCTCTTCTCCTGCTATCTTCTCAACAAGGTCTTTTTGAAGTGTCAATCTTCCTGTCATGATGTGGGCATTGAAACAACATCAACCTTGAATAGTACGTGTCCTGAGCGCCTCAACGTTGATATGCCACCACCTAGCCGGTTTACCAGCAGACAGACCACGTTCGTCATTTTGCCAAACGGTAACCACATATCGCGATTCTTTGCCAACATGCTTCACACCCGCCGCCAGGCCTTTGACTCCTCCTTGGTGCCTCACTCAGGCTAATATCAGGCTAACTATACCTGACATCCAGAAAAAAGCAGATATGTCGTCACCTGCTCTTAGACAGCTTGCTCTGCTCTTGTTATACGAGACGTATAAAGGCTGTATACACGTATACACCGACGGCTCTGTTTTATAGAAGAGTTCAACGACATCACTTGTTATACCAATAAACGACACTGCAAGAAAATTCAAGACCTCCCACCTCACGACATCAACGGATGCAGAGTTCACAGCTCTTCGTGCCGCATTGCTATTCATCAGCGATCAACCGCCACGAAAATAGACAATTTTCAGGGACTCAAAGGCGGCACTGCAATCCATTCTATCACTTTTACGCCACGGCTCGTACGAACAGCTGGTATTCGAGATTGCAGAAAAGACTCACCAATTCATTGAGAAAGGACATGAAATAGCCTTTTAATGACTTCCAAATCATTTTGGAATAATTGGTAATGAACGGGTCGATCGAGCGGCTGGTTCTGCGCATACCGAAAGCGATCAAATATCAATTCCGCTCTCCAGAACTGACGCTGCACGGAAACTCCGCATGCTTGCTTGCAAGCACACCCCGTCGAAATAGAACGAGCCACACTTCATACATGCATGTTTAAGTACCTTAGACCCAACTCTCAGTTTTCGAATTCCTCCGAAATTACGCCGACGAGACGCTACTATGCTGTGCAGATTATGGTTGGGCGTCGCATTTACCAATGCGTACGCGTTCTGCATAGGAATGGCTGACACTGCTGCATGCGACCATTGCGGCAGTGACGAAACAACTTGGCACATTCTGCGTGAATGCCCACAATACTGCTCGCAGAGACAGTCACTCTGCAATACACTAGATGAACTGGACAACCAGACTCTTTCGGAAGAAAGAATCCTCCGCTACCGATAGGACTTTGTGTCGCAGAAGAAGGCTGTGAAGGCGCTCTTGCGCTTCTTGCCGTTCAACCGGCCTGTCCAAACGACTGTTATCGGAACTCCCTGAATGTGTGCGCATGTAAATTTTTTTCTATTTTATTTTATATCTATCTTTATCCTCTTTCCGACCCTTTTTCCACCCTTGTACAGGTTAGCAAACAGTTCTTTAGGTTCACCTCCCTGTCTCTTCCTTTTAGTTATTTCTCTCTCTCTCTCTTAAATAGCACTCTTCATGCCAGTACATACCTAAAAAATCCCCGCCACGTTGGTCCAGTTGATAAGGTACTCGGCTGCTGATCCGCAGGTCGCGGGATCATATCCCGGCTGTGCGGCTGCTTTTCCGATGGAGGCGGAAATGTTGTAGGCCCGTGTCCTCAGATTTGGGTGCACGCTAAGGAACCCCAGGTGGTGGAAATTTCTGGAGCCCTCCACTACGGCGTCTCTTATAATCATACGGTGGTTTTGAGACGTTAAAGCCCACAAATCAATCATTCAACATACCTAACAATTATAACCGTACGCTAGGCTACCTCCGTCGCAATCTACCAAATTGTAATGTAAATATGAAGAAAAGTGGGTGAAAATATAACTTGCCGTGGGCCGGATTAGTTATCTTTTCACCCGCTTTTCTTCATATTTACATTAAAATTTGATCTAATATCTTCCCCTATACTTTACTTGGCATTATTGTCTGTTAGATCTCATTATTATTGTGTGAATACACAGAAAAACGAGCCCTTAGGTATACACTTCTTTCCATATATATATACATATATATATATATATATATATATATATATATATATATATATATATATATATATATATATATATATATATATATATATATATATATATATATATATATATATATATATATATATATATATATATATATATATATATATATATATATATATATATATATATATAGATATATATAGATATATATATATATATAAATATATATATATATATATATATATATATATATATCATTTAAAACAAGACAAACGAAAGTAGAAAATCTTTACGAGCACGCATCGGCCTTCTTTGAGTATTATTGGTACAGATTACGTGACCGAATCAAATAGGTAATCGCAACGTCCCCCTTCATAAAGGTCGCGTCTCGAAATGGCTACGTTTCTTCTTTCTTTTTTTTTTGTCCACCGAGGAGTGTGTCTTGATACGCATTTTGTCAAATACATTGGGAAGAAAGGAGTTCAGCGAATCTGTCGTCCTGCACTGAAGCTGCCAAATCAACTTGAGAGGCAGAACGTTTTCACGCAGATCACATAAAAAAGCACAGCTGTTGTAAGGCCACTGTTTTCACGGCAACCCCTCTGCGCTCTCCGTCTCTCTTGCCTCGCAAGTTTCCGATGAAGGGGTTTTTCCAACGTCACGTACACAGCAGGACACGACGTTCACTTTATCTTTTATTCAATGTGCGTCTGAAGTCCTTTCTTTGCTCTTTGACTGCTCCAAACCTGCTTGCGCCCGAACCCTACTACTAGCTTACTCTCATGGTTACGCCTTCGTGGTTTCTTTTTTTTTGATGAACCCTTCAACGTAACTGGTTGCTGATCCTCTGCAAGAAGTAACTATTCAAAGCATGCCAAGATTTGAAAGAGTGGTGCGTCAATAAACTGCTCCCCTGGTCAGCATACATCGACTTGCATGACAGGATTCATTTCTCCAATCGAGCACTGCCCTTTTCAAGCTGAGAGGAACAAGAAACAAATAAAATAACTAAAACAATAAAGCATCGTACTAACTGCTTGGTCAAAGCCCTGGCAGGGCACTGTGAATAATGGGTGAGAGAGCGTACGCGAAGCGGTCAAGAGACGAGTTTTAACCAAAGCAGCGGGGGTCGATACGTGATCAGATAGTGCCCCGCTGAGCCGCAGTGCTGCTTATCCTTTAATACCGCCTGTCACGACTTCAGAGGCTGCCGGACCCATTTCTCAGAATTACAGAAACTTCTCCCAGTGTGTCTCACTAATGCACTGACTGAAAAGGTGCTGTCCCCGGTACCAGATGAACGATGCACAGCAAGCGAAAAAATGTAATTACGACTTCCAGATGAGTTTTTGAGCCTTCGACGTACAAATGACCACCAAAAAGAAAGTGGTGTGACAGGCACAAATCAGCGATGTATTCAGTGGGACCCAGCTTTTGAATGGCAAGCTTTATAAAAGTAGAAAATAAATATAAAATGAACAGTGCGTGAATGTATGAATAAATTACTGGAGCGGCATGGTCCTCACTCTTTTGTATGCTGCGCATGCTATTATTATATTTCTTCTTCTTGTCACGTTGAAAATAAGGAATTTAACAGCGGTAGTCCTGAGTGGTGCCGCATTGCACTGTCACTTTATACATACAAACAAAAACAAAAAAGAAGAGGAAAAAAATAAAGAACGACAAGACAAAAAAAAAAACTAGATCATTAGTCTAAGCTTGTCGCCTTTGCAGAACTATAGCTCACCGATAACGGTAATTCCCGATGCGCTCATTTCAGCCACATCACGTGATGGTGGAAGTGAATACTTTTCTCGCCACTTCTGAACGCTTCGGCAGCCTAATTTACAGGATTGAGCAGGGAAATTGGGGAAAAACTTTTCTGAGCAACTGGCTGGGTCAATGGTGGGTTTAGCATGCCATTAATGGGCTTTGATTAGGGGTGCTTGTCACAAACGCAGTGACCTCCATAGTCTTGGCCTCGCTGACGTTCGCTCGAGTGAAGAATCCCAGTTAAGATTATAACGAGTGAAGTCTGTGAAAGTATGCATATTTTTGCAATGCAGGAGTTGCGTCAACTGGGAACAATGCTGTACCGCAGGCAACACTTGGACGATGAAGATAACACCAATGCTGCGACCCAGCTTCTTGACTGTGCCGCACCTACATTCTGGGTCTGGCACGTGCAGTCTTGAAAGATTGCAACACTGGGCTTGACTGCGATCGAATATTACTAAAGGGGTACTGACACAAAAACTTCCGCCTCATGTTTTTCTGCTGCAATGTGTAGCGGGGCACCTGTTAGTGAGGACTGGACACATCGTTTGCTGCAGCACGCGACATATAATTATTTAGAGGCCCCTCATTATCGTCCAGTTTCCGTTTAGGTTTGAGAGAGCTCCCAAGACGAGAAGCCACCGGGTACAATTACCGCCACCTAGCATGTGCAGCTCTTGACCACGTCAGCATACAGAACTGTGACACACGTCCACACGGTATCCATGAACAATGGGGTGCTTCCGACTAGGAAACAGGATTGCAGTGGCGCCAAATACAACACTTTCAAAGCGTGCGCCACGGCCACGCACTCGCAACCAGCCGCCAAGAAGTATAGACTGCGGGAACCAACGCAGTGAAAAAATTGCGGTTATGACGTCATCATAACTTGTTTTATTGACTACAGCATGGTCATGGGAGGGAAGTAGGGGGGCCACAAAAGATCCCATTCGATGGTGCTTGTCAGTGGCACGATAAAGTCGAGGGCTCACGCAAACTTCAAAATTAATTTAAAACACCCTCCAAGGTATATTCGCTGCTGACATTTTGCTGATGATAAACTAAGGTCCACTGGAATTGACGCCGAAAGCTATCTCAGCCGCGAAACTATGTGCCAGTACCTCTTTAATATGAGCTGTCTCGTCTATGTAATTGAATGATCGTTATTTGAATGAACATGGTTAATTTAGTACAGTAATTTATTCTTTCCAAAATCCTGAATCTTGCTTTCTGCGCTTGAGAATGCGGGTTTGGTTCCTGGCCTCGGCATTTCGTTTTGATTCGGGGAAATGCCCGAACGTCCATGTACATAGGCTTAGGTTCATACTAAAGAACCCCAGGTTGTCCAAGTTATTCTAGATGCCCGCAATGTGGCCTGCCTTGTAATCACATTATGAGTTTGGCACACAAAACCAATCCATTAGTAACATTAACCTTCACTAATGACAAAGCCATTAGTAATAAAACATTCCGAGGATTGACTTATTTCTGCCCATTGAAGGAACATCCATGCTCTTACGTTGCATATAAGTGCTCCAAACATCGTCCGAGTAAATATATACAGTGCGCATTTACCATGCAGAGTTAAGAAGACAAATTAGAGCTGCGCAAAAATACGAGACGTGATTAGAATATGTATGTTTCGGCGAACTTGACTTTACCAAAGAAGCGATAAAACGGGAGATGAATGATTCACCCTGGTTCACACAGGGCACTTCCATATTCTAAAATGGCGTTCTGCATGAATTTATAACAGTGAGCAGGAAGAATTACACTTGGAGTGACTTTTGTTAGGCCATGCATATAGCCCGGTGTACAAGCTTTGGAATCTCTGCCAGCATCCAGATGTGTATCGGTCAATGACAGCTGTGTGGGACATCTTAACTCTATTAACACGTACAAATGCATACACAAATTTTACAAAACTATTCAAAACGGGGGGGGGGGGGGGAGGGTAGCAAGCACACCCTTATATAAACCAAATGAAGGGCTCTCTGAAATGTAGCCACTAGTATCCTCCGTCGATGGGACTACTCTGTGCACGCGAAATGTTATCACTCTCATTCGACCGATAGGGACAAACTAAAAGTGCATTGAAAGAAAGAAACGATGAGACCACTTCTTTGAAGTTTCCGTCCAACATAGTTTGTTATAGTAATGAAACGCGCACAGAGAGGGGTACGCGGTCGCCGAACCCGCCGAGATAGCCGGTCAAAAAGCAAAATAAAAGAAAACGCATGCATGAGTTCCGCGAACGACTAACATTTGACCACGACTTGCCTCTTGAACGAGGTTAACTTAAGCTTTTGCTTTGCATTTCTCATTTTTCGTATTCACTGCAGCTGTCGCTGTCCTTTTCCGATGACATCACCCCACGTGGTCTGCGCTGCAAGCGACGTTCTTTGTCCGTGCAAGTATTTTCATTTGCAAACGCACACACACAAAAAAAGAAATGATGAAAGACACCAAAGAAGGAGGTGGGTAGCTGTACGCTAGTTGAAAGCCGCTCATTTGTTTTTTTTTTCGTTTTAACGCATAATATATGGCGGGCCTTCACGGCCAAATCGCGTAATGGACGAAGAACTGGCGCCGGTCGCCAGACACGTGTGCTCGCTCTTTTTGAATGTTGCGCCGCCTCCACTGCTGTTCATGGCCACAGGCAAAGAATACGTTGCTCCTCAGGGTACGACGGTAAATGATGAGGGTCCCACGTGTTGGTGCCCCTGCGTCGTGCGCGTGTCTTGTCTTGACACGTCTATTGTCAACAAAGCACGCATCGGGTGAACGCTTTTCTTACCGCAGAGATGAAGGCATTCATGCTCAGTCGATAAGGTGTTGGGAGAGACCAGTAAATCCGACGCCATCGCACACTGTCCCTTATTCCCCATGTGATCGCAAACCGTGTTGGCTCGTCTTTGTTGAACATACACAAGAAAATTGAAAAGCTAGTTTCTAGACAAAACGCTGTTTGAAAATCTAAATTCTTTTAGAAATATATTCTGTTACGAAAATGAGTACTTTATATATGGAGCGGAATGTGAACGCGTCTTACTCACCATCGCTGGCTTGACTCAGAAACTCAAATAATGAAAAATGATAAAGCGAGTGCAAAAATGGTTGTATTTTGTAATCAACAAGTGCTTTTTGACAAAGCATAAATGGAAAGTAAAATGAGAAAGAGCGTTTTCGTAAAATATATCCGCTGTTATGCGCAGAAATCCTCAGATTATCAATGAATGCGAAGCATTTCTCAGCGAACTTCGGCAACTTGTAGCATATATATCTTATCTATCTATCTATCTATCTATCTATCTATCTATCTATCTATCTATCTATCTATCTATCTATCTATCTATCTATCTATCTATCTATCTATCTATCTATCTATCTATCTATCTATCTATCTATCTATCTATCTATCTATCTATCTATCTATCTCTATCTATCTATCTATCTATCTATCTATCTATCTATCTATCTATCCGCTTACGACTTTTAGCTCTCCCAGCTGTTTCGATAATTGTATCGATACCAAAATTGGTATGGAATAACATGACAGTATGACGAGTGTAAATGACTAGTCATAACATCAAAATCACGACATGTATGTTATGAATGTCATGCAGTGCATTTAGTGGTCTTGATGCTCTTGCGGTGGTTTCGTTCACATGACATATTACAAAACTGATTGGTATGACATGACAGCATGACGAACATAGGTGACTGACCCTAACGTGCAAATCGTCACATGCATGTCATGTAAGTCATGTGTACACGCATAGGCGTATAAGCCGGGGGGGGGGGGGGCAAGAGGAACGCTTGTTCCCCCCCTCACTAAGAAAAAGTGGGGGGCTAAGGCCCCCCACCTATTTTTTACAGTGCACCATGGTGCCACTTCACGACACGCTGGGGAAACTAACTTGTAAGGCGAAGTTCTCCGTCACAATAGTAATCACTTAATTTTGTTCTTGATTGACTGATATGTGAGGTTTAACGTCCCCAAAACCACCATATGATTATGAGACGCCGTAGTGGAGGACTTCGGAAATTTTCACCACCTAGGATTCTTTAACGTGAACCCAAATCTGGGCAAAGGGGCCTTCAACATTTCCGCCTCCACCACCACCGCGGTGGTCTAGTGGCTAAGGTACTCGGCTGCTGACCCGCAGGTCACGGGATCGAATCTCGGCTGTGGCAGCTGCATTTCCCATGGAGGCCGAAATGTTGTAGGCCCGTGTGCTCAGATTTGGGCGCACGTTAAAGAACCCCAGGTGGTCGAAATTTCCGGAGCCCTCCACTATGGCGTCTCTCATAATCATATGGTGGTTTTGGGACGTTAAACCCCACATATCAATCTATCAATCAATTTCCGCCTCCACTGGAAATGCAGCCGCCGCAGCTGGGATTCGATCCCGCGACCTGCGGGCCAGCAACCGAGTACCTTAGCCACTAGACCACCACGGCGGGGCAATTTCGTTCTTACAGAAGAATGACTATGTTACGAGGCAATGTTACAACAAAGTGAAATTTGCCAACATTTCCGCTTTGAAGATTTTCCTTGTGGGCAATTTGCGGTGCGGGTCGCCTATGCGATGCTTTCGCGTCTTGTTCTGTAGTATTGCCGAACAGGCAAGCGCTGAACAGTGGCTCTATAGTCTTAAATCACTTGTTAATGCTTTTATTCTGCTGTGACTTCTTGATGCAGTTACGGATGGGAACGGGCATCACTTTAGTCGGTGATAAACCCAATCGGCGTTGCTTATGGTAACTCGGAGTCATAGCGGCAGCTTGCAAAGTGGCCACGGATAAAGCAGTACACTCGAGCTCAGTAGGAAGCTTAGCTTTTAAGCTTGCCCACAACTTGACCCACCGGACCATGGTGAAGGTTAAATACCGTGGTTTTTTCGCACTATGGAGGCTTAGTTAGGAATCGGGCTAGTCAATTTTCACTCAACTTGAATTTTCCTTTACAGCTGAAAATACATCTCGGACAGCAAGTACGCAGACACATGCAGCGCTGCTAATTTCTCTCTATACCCCTGTCTCTCCGCAAGCATGAGCTCACAGAGATGTATACGCTCACAAACTACTAAGCACCGTTATGCTGCTTGTGAAAATATTTTACTAAAATCTTAATTCATCTCGCCAGCTGCTCTATGTAGCCGTTGCTTGTGTGAGTGGCAGCTTGCTATACTTGAATTACATTTAGAAGGAGATGCTCTCCGTCTTCGTGACGTCATACAACAAGCAGGCGATTTTGTGGCACACAAAACATTTTGAATGCCGAAAAACCAATGGCAAACAATATGCCGTACCGAAAATAGTTTATACTCTTATTTTTTACGTGGTCGTGCATAAGTGGTCCTTACGCGATGAGTCGTTTTCGCGTCATTTGTTG